AAAAAAAAAAAGAATAGTCTTTTTAGGTGTTTTGGGGCAGAAATTTACTGCCAGTATACCTAGATGAGATGGTAAGATGGTAATCAACAATTTTCTGTGGCTTTGATTTCTATTAAGCATTGGCCATCTCCTCAACGATATTTATATTTATAAAGTTTAGTTAAAATCAACTGAATTTCTTTAAAAGTGGAAACCAAGCCCGGTCATGTTCTATGACCCAGACATGGGTCAATTTAGCATTAAAAAAAGTTAGGAATCCATTGCTCTTGGATTAAAATAAATCCAGTCATTTTTATCATCCTCCATTTGCTTGGCAATAAAAAAGCTTTTTTGAAACATAACCATAATACATGGTTCAAAATTAATTTAAGAGTTATTAAATGAGTTAGCACCTAATAAAATAGAAACATAGCAGCAAGGGGTGCTTTTATGTAGAAAAATGGGGAATCTATCCTACAGGGCAAGGCAGCTGAGTGTCTCCTTGCTAGGTAACCTGTCTTCAATCCACACTATGATCAGTGGCCATCAGGCCTTCCAAGGGTTGGGCTGGGTCTGGGACAAATGTGAATACAGTAAAGAATTTAAAAAATTTTTTGGTAATAACCTCTTCGCTTTTCCCTTTTCCATTTTTCTTTCCTCCTTTGCACCTTATCTTGATCACCCTATGTGCTCCAGCCCACAACTTATGCTCCAGATGCTTCCCTTTGCTTCCTGTTTCTCCATCAGTCAGGACTGCATTTGATTGCAGGTAATAGAACCTGCACTGCATTAGCTTGGTCAGGTATGGGTTTACTGTCTCATATCCAGAGAAAAGTAGTTCATGGCTGATCAGATGATTTTAATCTTGGCCTTTTGTCACTCCTTAATTGGATCAATTTTTTAAAAAGAGGAAAATAACTATTGGTTAGGCAAATAAGAGAATCTGCCACACATTTCATTAAATCTGAATGCTCAGATTTAACAGAACGCTGTTAAATCTGAACATTCAGATTTAACAGAAAAACTGTTCTTAAAACCACTAATTTGATCCTTAAAAGGCATCAGAAAGTCTGTTATAAAAGCTTTAAAACATATAATCTCATTTAATCCTTACAGCATTCTTATTGTAATTATATTTATTTCACAGAAGAAAAATCGGGAGTCTACTGAAGTTAGCTTTCTTCAAGTTACACAGTGAATGGTAGAAGCTTAAATCCAAAGTCTGGTCTCTGGCTCTAAATCTAACACTCTTTCTATTGTATTAGTGTGATAAACTGATCTGTGCCTTATATTAATGGTCTTTAGTGTAATAATTGGAATCATATCTCTTTCTTTAGTGGCCAATATTTGATATCAGAGGAATGATTCTAATCAGGGAATTAAGGAACTAGACAGCTTTTACCAGGCAGGCTATAGGCCTCAGCTGATGCTGGAGGCCTCGAAGAAAACACTAAAATGGGTTTTATAAAAGAGGCTGACAAATATCTCTATATTTTTGGTGGATCAATATGAATCAGGATGAAGTAGTAAAAGTCATTGCTTATTCAATCCTTGGTTAAACCTCAACTTCTGAAAGGTTATAAGATCCAACCATTAGCACAAAGAAAATGCTTTTGCGATCAGCTGATCACAAGCTTACAACTTGGAGGGCATCACACTAAGGGACCTAAGCCAGGCAGAGAAAGACAAATACTGCATGGTATCACTTACATGTGGAATGGAAACAAACAAAAAGTTGAACTCATAGGTACGGAGAGTAAAGAAGTGGTTGTCAGGAGCTTGGGGGATGGCAACATAGGGTAAGGTTGGCAAAAAGAAAAGGACAAACTTTCAGGCATAAGTTGAATAGGTCTGAGGATCTAATGTATAACATGGTGACTATAGTTAATAACATTGTGTTGTTTAATTAAAATTAGCTAAGAGAAAGTAGAAGTTAATATTCTCTCTCACTTTCTCTCTCTCTGTCTCTCTGTCTCTCTCTCTCTTTCACACACACACACACACACACACACACACATACCACACACACACACACAGGTAAACATGTGAGGGGGTAGATGTGTTAATTAACTCCATAGGGGAAATTTTTGAGGTTGTACACTTTAGATACCTTACCATTGTATTTGTTAATTATATCTCAATAAAACTAAAGACAAAAGAAAATTGGGGCTCCTGGGTGGCTCAGTCAGTTAAGTATCTGACTCTTGAGTTTGGCTCAGCTTATGATCTCATGGCTCATGAGGTCAAGCCCTGCACTGAGGTCTGAGCTAACTGCGTGGGGCCTACCTGGGATTCCGTCACTCTCCTCTCTCTGCCTCTTCTGCCTTCTCTCAAAATAATTAAAATAAAACTTTAAAAAGAACAGAAAAGAAAACCTTCATTACAATGAGACCAATTATGCAAACATGTATTTTAGGATATTTGTATGCTTTACTATTACTTGTTTTATTTCAGTTTGTGGAATGAATGTACTCATTGCTCCAAAATACAGAACCTATGATTTAAGTATGTGGCCACCAGATATCATACTGCATTAGAGTCACATTCATGGTAGAACATGAGAAGTCTCAACAAAAAAATATTAAATCCTTCATTAAAACAGTTAAAATAAATAAATATTACATACCCAGTGAAAGTGTAATGTTTTAGAGGAATAAGCATTTGGGAAATAATTATGGAGATGGTCTTTAATTGCTAGAGAATCTCAGGATGGCTTTGCTACATGTCAGGGCATCTCATCTCCTTCCTGGGGTTTACATTTAATTTACATAAAAATCCTTCTAGCTGAGGAAATATGTTTCTCCTCTCTGCAACATGTTTCTGTTTCATGTTTACATGACGTGTAAAATCTTACCCATGTTTAGATTTTGTTTTTCCAAACATGTCTAAGTATAGCATACATTCTAAAACAGAAATATTTTTATTAAAAATGTTTTAATATTTATTTTTGAGAGAGACAGAGTGTGAGCAGGGAAGGTACAGAGAGAGAGGGGACAAGGACCCGAAGCAGGCTCCAGGCTCTGAGCTGTCAGCACAGAGCCCAACATGGGGCTCGAACTCATGAACTGCGAGATCATGACCCCACGTTGGGACTTAACTAACTGAGCCACCCAGGTACCCTTTTTAAAACAGAAATATATGGTTTTCAACCTGTGTTTTTGTTGTTGTTGTTTTTTTTTTTACTGATTTCATTACCATTGTTATTTTCAGTTTGGGGTTTATTGATGATTTTTTTTTTATTTTAGTGGATAAACATTGCTAAGAGAGTACTATCCCTGAAGGACATATTTTTTTTAAAAAATTACATTTGTTTATGACAAAAAACTAGAATTGGTTTCATATTTGGATGGATTTGATCAAATACTAGATATCTTGACTCAAGTGTTTGAGTAAAGTTTTATTAACAGAGGTGTTCCAGGAGTTAACTGTCACTTTAATTTACCATTCTGAATCTTGTTTTTTCCCCTACTTTGCAACCACTGTGTGTGTGTGTGTGTGTGTGTGTGGGTGGGTGGGTGTGTTTCCTAGAGTTCGTGGTGGTTGTTTTACTTCCTTCTCCTTCCTATAACCTTTGCTCTGCCCCTGCCTTCCTCTTCCACACCATAGACGTGTTCTAGCCAATTCATTTGCTGTGCTCGCTCTTCCCATGCCCGCATGTTTACTACACATCTTCACTGCACATGCAGATTTCCACATTATTGTGCAGACTTACATGTTTTCCTTTTTCTTGCCTGATGCCCAATAACTAAACAGTGTTAAAAGCATCTTGACTTCTATTTCTCTAGCTTTATTGAGAAATAACCAACAAAATGTAATGATTTGATATACATATACATTGTGAAATGATTACCACAATCAGGTTAATGAACACATCCATCCTTTCACATAGTTACCATTTGTGTGTGTGGTGAGAACATTTAAGATTTGCTCTTTTAGCAAATTGCAAGTATCCAATAGTGTATTATCAATTATAGTCACCATGCTATACATTAAATCCCTAGAATTTATTCATCTTATAGTTGAAAATTTGTACTCTTTGACCAAAATTCCCCCTTTTCCCACAAACCCTGTCCCTGGCAACCACTATTTTTCTCTCCATTTTGATGGGATCTACTCTTTTTGCTTCTATGTATAAATAAGATCATACAATATTCATCTTTCTCTGTCTAACGTATTTTACTGAGCATAACGTCCTCCAGATTTATCCATGTTGTTACAAATGGCAGGATTTCCTTCTTTTTACAAACAAATATTTCATTGAATAGATAGATAGTTAGATAGATTTTCTTTATCCATTCATCTAAAAACAGCTACTTCAGTTGTTTCCATACCTTGGTTATTATGAATAGTGCTGCATTGAACATGAGAGTTAAGATATCTCTTCAAGACTGTGTTTTCATTTCCTTTGGATATTTTCCCAGAAGTGGGATTACTGGATCATATGGTAGTTCTTTTTTTCATATTCTGAGGAAAATATGGAAAACTTGTTTTCCATAGTGACTGTACCAATTTGCATTCCCACCAACAGTCCACAAAGTTTACCTTTTCTCCATATCCTTGAAAAACATCTTGGCTCCTTAATTCTTTATTTTTTAAGTTATACTCAAAAACAAAAAATTGTATATTGTCAAAGGATGGCCACTTGTCATTTAAATGAGTAAAGAGAAAAGGGAAAAAAGTAACCAAAAATAGCTCTCTACCTAAGCAATGAATCTTCCTCTTGTCTATAAATACCTAAAACTTGAATCAATAGAGGTAAGCTGCTCTTCTGGATGCTGATGATTCTCAGAGTGGAATCTTATCGACTGATTGTTCTGAAGATAAGCTCCTCAGATCCTCCAAAAGTAGTTTAAGTGTATGGGAGCTGCGGAAGGGGGGTTCTGGGTGTGTGTTATTACATTAAGCAGCAAATGGCATGATTACTGAGGGTACAAAGAGGCCACAACATGTCCCTCTGAAGGAAATTTATTGCCATTCTTTAGGATAATGTTTTTATTATTAGAGTATTTATTACTAGTGAGGTAATGTTTAAATAAATCAATTTGCCACTTTATTATGCAATTGTAATAGCGTCCAGGCCTTTGCATGTCCGTCAAGCTTAAGCTTAGCTCTCAGAGTTGGCTTTAAGCAATTTCACTGCCATCACTGCCTGGGATTCCTCTTCCTCCCCAATGTACTGGCATCCTTGATATACATGCAGGCAAAGTCATCAAGTGACCTAGGCCTTTGTAGGTCCAAGTGGAGACCAGGGAACGCTTGAGTGGCTCCCTCTGTTCATTTTCCCTGGAAGTTGAGATCCATGTGTGTATACTTTTTAGTCATTGAAAATGGATCCTATTTTTTTTTTAAGTTTGCTTAAAGGCTAGATGATTTTCTCCAAGACTGATATGGAAAAGCTAGTGGTCAAAGAGCTTAAGTGTATTTGTCTTGTTTGCATAGTGAAGGTTGATTGGTTTGGGATCCAGGGATACTGATAAAAATAAAAGCCATAAATTCAGCATGTATGGGGATGCCAACCGTGTTCCCATGAAGATCAATATTCACTATAGAGGACCATTATGAGAATGTTTGGAGGACTTTCACCTACAAAACCACCTATGGGACCACCATATCCTGAGCTGAGGTACACTCCCAGTTTAATATAATCAATTAGGAGCCATGGAATGTAAGAATTACATGGCTAGATGGGCCAATCACTCCATTCTTTACCCTTGGAGGCTACTGCGCTCTCTGCTGGTTAGAAAGATACCCTAATAGCAAAACTCCTCACGTCCACATACCTCTAGGAAGGAAATAGGCTCATCTTCCCATTTAAAAGATAGTTGGGAACCTTTTACCATTTAACCAATAATCTTCATTCCTAGAAGAATGTCACCCTGGCTATGACCTCTGGATTAGTGGTGTGTCAGGCAACTATTTTTCTTACAATTCCAGTGAACAGAGATCTTCCTGAGATAGGATTTCATACTGATAAAGAGTAAGGTTGTTGTGATCTTCACTAATGGTTCACTTATATTTCCTAAGCTGGTGGGAACAGTGATGGTTAATTTATGGTCAAATTGACTGGGCCATGGGGTGCCCGGACATTTGGGGAAATATTCTGGGTGTGTCTCTGAGGGTGTTTCTGGATGAGATTAACATTAAAGTGGTAGATTGAGTAAAGCAGATTCCCTTTTCTAGTGTGGGCGAGGCTCATCCAATCAGCTGGAGGACTGCATAGGACAAAAAAGGCTGACTCTCCACTGAGTAAAAGAAATTCTTCCTGCCAGATGGCCCTTGAACTAAGACATTGGCTTGTGCTGCATTCAGACTTAACTGAAACATTAGCTCTTCCTGAGTCTCAAGTCTGCCAGTCTTCAGGCTGGAACTATCCCATCGATTCTTTGGGGTCTCCAACTTGCTGACTTACCCTGCAGATCTGGGGACCTGTCGGCTTTTGTAATTGCATGAGTCAATTTCTTATAATAAATAAAACTCTCTCTCTCTATTATAGGTAAATAATTTCCCCAACAATCTAAAATATTGTAAAGCAAAGAAGCAATTATATGGGAAATTTTTTTAGTGTTCCCAAACCCAAAAAGTAACCCCTCTTAGGCTTTTCTGATACTTTAGGATAAATATTGCTAAAGGTTGCAGAAAATAAATAAAGATAAAGTACAGATGCTCAGAAACACAGTTTAAAGCTCTGGCCCCTTCATGCTGAGATGCTGAGTGTATTTCCTGGGGGAGGAGCTTGGCCGCACCATTCTGGCTGCTCAGGGTCCACGCGGACTCTGAAGGGCTCCTTCTATAAAGGCTCCCTGCAAAACCCACACTGAAGGCATTTCTGCTTTTAGTCTTTTTTTTTTTTTTTTTGTAAAAGCGAAAATCCTCTTCAGATTTCTTACAGTTGGCAAAACTAGGTACTAATGTAGGTCTTTTGTAAAAGCGACGTGGTGTAATGTGAACTTTGAAAAGCCGGGGTTATACACATCTTAGTGGTTCTGTTTTTCGGGAGAACCTGAATACAAAAATCAATCTGGTTTCTACTGAAGTCTGTCAACATTCTTCTATTCATACTTACATGTTTCTTATATACTTATATGTGTGTGTGTATGTATATAGTATATAGTTATTCATACTTATATGTTTCCATCTGGAGTGTTAGACGTAGACATGGTCTAGTATTATACGGGAATAAAATTCCTAGCATGTGGTGCACGGTTTCCTTCCTGACCCAGGCTCTTCTTCAGATGTGCTGAAGCTCATGACGGGCATCAGCTATCGGACAAACAGAGTGTGAAGAGAATCAGGGTACCTGACAGTGTCTGGCCCATTGTGCTGGGAAGTAGAAGGAATCTTCTGCTATGTGGGTTCTGTGGAAGGCACAGGAGGAAAGAGGAGAATGAGAAAGGGAAAGAAGAAGACAGTGGTTCTCTGGACAGTTTGTACTTGTTTAGAAATGGCTTATAAATGGGGTTTACGGCCTACAGAAAGATTAGGACTCTTTCCCCTGATTGTCTCCACACCTCTTTCTCACTAACAGATTCCCTTCTCCTTTTGGCCCTGGGGACATGTAACGCAGTCTGGAAGACAGCAGGAAATAACCAAATTCTGCAGTGGCTGTGCCTCAAACTCTCTCTGCACCAGAGATGTGAAATCGGGGTGTGTGTGGGGTGGAGTGAAGCACCTCTGCAGGAGGAAAGCCTTTGTGGATGGTGACCTTTCCACTGTTAATTTTTGTCCTAGTTCCCCAGGAAGGAGGCCCTAATTTATGGCACCCCCTCCACAGTGCCAGCCTCTCCCATATGCTCAGGTGCTATTTCGGTGGCCCCCCCCCCCATCAAAAAGGCAACCCTCCCAGTACAAATTAATGGTTTTCGGTCCTGCCTCCATAGTGCAAGAAGCAATCATGAAAACAGGCTTTTTACTTATTTACTTTTCTTTTAAATGGGCCTGCTTTGTGTCTTCATTCTTTCGAACAGGAAGAAGAGAAATGAGTTACAAGGGAATTTGAGTTTATCGGTCTTTGGACACCAGAGTCTGTGGAGGCTGCTGCTCCAGACTTCTATTGTTGGTCAGCAGGGCGGGAAGCTGGCACCCGGGGAGGGAGGCCTCTGCCTGCAGTGGCCTGGGTCAGTGTGGCCAGGGTCACGGGGCACAAGGAGAACAGCAGTAAAGCTCATTTGTAGTCTGGAGATTTGAGTAACAGTTGTTAGTTAGCAATAAACAGTGGGGTCTCCATTGGGCAAGACCTTCCTTATCATCATGTCTGTCTACCCTTTTCCCTCACATGGTCACTTACAGTGGCATTTGCAGATATGAACAAAGCGTCAACCGAGAATGAGTAAGAAGTGGTCCAGACCGAGCTGAAAAGGGCCAGTTTAAGGCCCAGGAATCTGGCTGTCCCATTGGCTAAGGTCTTTTCTAGAAGTTCTCTATCCAAAGTAATCCTTGGAGGGCTTCCCATTGGTTCCTAGTAGCTGTCATCACTGCTGCTCCTCTTCATCCCACTCAGGGTAAGTGAACACAGAGGCATCTTGGGGTTACCCTGGAGGCTGCTCATCCTTCCCAGAACATGAGACAGCTCTTTCAAACATCCTGCCTCTGTAGAACAGTAGTAAACACCATAAACCCAGTTGGGCAGAGATAGTAATCCAATGGCATAGTGTTCGAGAACTGTTTTTGAGTAGGCACTGGAACATTTTTTCAAAGCCAACTCGATATCTCCTTTATTTTTTTTTTTTTACTTTTAAATTTTTTAAAATGTTTATTTATTTTGAGGGAGAGAGAGGCAGAATGTGAGCAGGGGAGGGGCAGAGAGAGGGAGACACAGAATCCGAAACAGGCTCCAGGCTCTGAGCTGTCAGCACAGAGCCCGGTGCAGAGCTCGAACTCACAAACCATGAGATCATGACCTGAGCCAAAGTCAGACGCCTAACCAACTGAGCCACCCAGGCCCCCCTTAATAGCTCCTTTAAAATGGGCTCAATATAGCATCTCCTGAGTTGTGGCAAAGGGTCCTTCATCTAATTTTTTTTTTGTCTTGTGACAGGAGATTTTCTCTTTTCTTTTCTTTCTCCTTCCTACTTATGTTCTGGCCTTCATTCCAATTTGAAGTCCGATGAGAGTTCTCAAAATTTCCAGTGTGAAGAATCACATTGGGTGTTTGGTAACTATCTTGATTCTCAGAACCTAGTTTCAAGAAATCTGGAGTAAGTCTAGAAATTAGCATTTTTAATAAGAACCAAGAAAATTATTTTGTGAGAAAAGTTTTAGCCTTTGTTGCTCAAACTTAAGGAGTTATCAGTGATTGTATGATATCTGAATCCATTTTCAGCTTCATTGCTTTTATGTACTTTATTTTTCCTTTTTAGAATTAAAACAAAACAAAACAAAAACAAACTGAATGCAAAATGCCAGAAAATCTTGCCACTATCTTATCACTATGTTGAATGAATTTCTTTTTAATTTTTTATTTATTTCTGAGAGAGAGAGAGAGAGACGGCATGAGCAAGGGAGGGTCAGAGAGAGAGGGAGACACAGAATCGGAAACAGGATCCAGACTCTGAGCTAGCTGTCAGCACAGAGCCCAACACAGGGCTCGAACCTACAAACCATGAGATCATGACCTGAGCCAAAGGCAGACGCTTAACCGACTGAGACATCCAGGCTTAAAAATGAATTTTTAAGATGTAACAATATGTATCTAAACATTGCTTCACACAGTGAACTTTAAACCAGAACTTTCATGGCAACAAAGATTGTATTTAAGCAAAATTTTAAAGAAAAAGAAAATTTTATCATGTTTACCCCTCTGATATTAAAATTCTACAGAATAAAATATATTTGATAATAGTTGAAATGTAAATGGAATTCTAATGAGCTAAGTAGGACTTTTCCCTCCAACCTGAGAGGTTTGTCTCTGTCTCTCTGTGCCCCTGTCTCTATATCTTTCTCTCTTATTTTTAAAAAATTTTGTTTATTTACTTATTTATTTGAGAGAGAGAGAGAGCACAAGCTGGGGACATTGGCACAGAGAGAGAGAGAGAGACAGAGATAGAGACAGAGACAGAGATTTTTAAGCAGGCTCTACCCTAAGCAACGAGCCTGACATGTGGCTTGATCCCATGACCTTGGGATCATGATCTGAGGTGAAATCAAAAGTTGGATGGTCACCCAGGCACCTCTTTCTCTCCTATTTAATTTAGTGAGAGAGGTTGAATCAGATTTTCTGCATTCAAAGTGTAAACGAGTCCTATGGTGGAGTTTATCTTCAGGGCACTATAAATACCAAATTATTAGTTGCTCCACCATATCAGAGGGCAAATTTTGCTTTTTAATAATATTATTTTGATTAAGAAATTGAGAGATTCCTGGAACATTAGATATTGATTAGATTTCATTTCCCATGTAAATAAAATTTTGTTAATCAACTGGAATTTTAAGTGCTCTGAGGATTTGAGATTCCTTGAGGAAAGTTTTAGCCAATTTCTTGGTAAAATGAGCACCAATTTCTCACATGAATAGACCTCCGTAACTTAGTCTAAGTATACATTTGGTCATCTGTACACTGTATTCTATTAAAATCAGATACAATGTGCCCTGTTTGAATAACTACGATCAGGTCATGAACAAATGAGACAAATGAGTGTGGCTTCTCTGGAGAACAGGAAGGAAACGGATCTTGCTGAAGTGGGTGGGGAAGGAGGAAGGGAAATGACATATTGAGTGTTAAACCCAGCTAAGTCTTTATGTCTGCTATCTTATTTAATTATCAAAATCTTACCAGGTAAGCATTATTATTATCCTCATTTTATGGATATAAAAAATTTTAGTTTAGTTAACTTGCTTAAAGTCACAGAGATGGTAGGTAGCAGACTGGGATTTCAGTCCAGACCTAATTGAAAACCCCATGGTCTTTGCATTGCCCAGTGGCTGACTCTTGCATGATGGAGGATAAGCTATATGGTCTGGAATGAGTACACCGAGGGTTTTCATCCTGCCATTTATTCGTAGACTTAGCTATTTCCTACTTTAAATAATATATAAGCCTCTTTCAACAACATTCATCAGTCAATCGCATCAGCCCTGAAAATCACCCACTTTTGTCCACCAAAATACATAGGGGACCAGGTCATCTAGGCAAGAAATTGGAAGTGACCTGAAGTGATTATGTGTAGCCCATCTGTTGTTCTGACTTAAAACTGTCTGATACAACTATCAATGGCATAGTTGCATACTGCATATGGTCTCTGTATTTAGTTTGTAGTAGCTTTTTGAGGTACAATTGATATACAGTAATATTCACATATTTAAATTGTACAAGTTGATAAGTTTTCACACACATGAATCTATAATCAAAATCAAGATAATAAACATGTCTTTCACCCCTTTGTAATTACTTCCTCCCACCCCTAGCCACTTTGACATCCCCAGACAACCAGGAATCTACTTTTTGTTAGTATTGATTAATTTTATATTTTCTAGAATTTAATATAAAGGAATTGCATAGTATGTTCTCAATTTTGGCTGCTTTCTTTAACTCAAGGTATATATTTTTAAATGTTTATTTATTTCTAAGAGAGAGAGAGAGCATAAGCAGGGGGAGGGGCAGAGAAAGAGGGAGACATAGAATCTGAGGCAGGATCCAGGTTCTGAGCTGTCAGTACAGAGCCCTACATGGCGCTCAAACTCACGAACCACAAGATCATAACCTGAGCTGAAGTCAGATGCTTAATCGACTGAGCCACCCACGTGCCTTTAACTCAAGATATTTTTGAGATCCATCCGTATTATATTAATCATTCACTTGTATCAGTTGTTCATTTCCTTTTTGTTGCTGAACAATAGTCCGTTGATATAGCACAATTTATCCATTCTCCTGTTTTTTTTGTTTTGTTCTGTTTTGTTTTTTAATTTTATTTTTTAATGTTTTATTTATTTCTAGGAGAGAAGAGAGAGAGACAGCGTGAGCAGGGGAGGGTCAGAGAGAGAGGGGGGTCACAGACTGAAACAGGCTCCAGGCTCTGAGCTGGCAGTCAGCACAGAGCCCGACGCGGGGCTCGAACCCACAAACCGCGAGATCATGACCTAAGCGAAAGTCGGACGCTTAACCGACTAAGCCACCCAGGCGCCCCTATCCATTCTCCTGTTGACAGACGTTTGTCTCCAGTTTTTGACCATCACAATAAAGTGGCTATGAACATTTGTGAAGCCTTTGTATAACATGTTATTTTACTTCACTACCACTACATACCTAGAAGTGGAATCATTGCATCATATGGTAGATATATTTAACTTTTAAGACACTTCCAAAGTTTTTCCAAAATAGTAGTACCATTTTACATTCCCATCAAGAGTAGGTGAGAATTCCAGTTGCTACACATCCACAACAAATCTTGATATTATCAGTCTTTTTAAATTTTAGATATTTTCACAGATAGGTAGTAGTATCTCTTTGGGGTTTAAAGTTGCACTTTCCGAATAACTAAGGAGTTTGAACAACCTTTCATTCGTTTGTCATTTAAATATACTCTTTGGAAACATGCCTGTTCAAAACTTTTGCTCCCTTTTAAAAATTAGGTTATTTTTTAAATTATTGTAGTAATAAGAAACTATATATTCTGTATATAAGGTCCTTGGATATATTTTCTCCAATATGTGACATGCCTTTTGATGAGCAGAAGTTCTTAATTTTGGTGAAGTTTGATTTACCAAACTCATCCTTTTGGTGTTGTAGCTAAGCTATCTTTTTTCCTCCTATTTTCCAGAAGTTTTATAGGTTCAGATTTTACACTTAGGTCTATGGTCTCTTTTGAGTTAATTTTTGTATGTGCTGTGAATACTGATTCAAGTTCTTTTTTCTTTGCTTACTTCTCTATACCCAGTTGTGTCAATACCATTTGTTGAAAAGAATATTTTTCTCCAATTATCTTTGCACATTAAAAAAAGTCAATTGACCATAAATATAAGGACCTATTTCTGGATACTCTATTCTCTTCCTCTTACATGCTTATCCATTTTGATACCAATACCACATTGTCTTTATTTCTGTAGCTTTATAAGTCTCGGAATCAGGTTGTATAAGTCCTTAAAATTTCCTTTCTTTTACTTTTACTTTTTTTTTTTTTAAGTTTTGGCTTTGGTAGATTCTTTTGCATTTCCATACAAGTTTTAGAATCAGCTTGTCAATTTCTACAAAAGGCCTTTTAAAATTTTAATTGTATTTTCATTGTATTTATAGATCATCTTAAGGAGAACTGACATTTTAACAATATTGTCTTGTGATCATGAATATGCTACATCTCTATCGTTTAAGTTGTAAAGACATTTCTCTTAACAGTATTTCATAGTTTTCAGTTTGAAGGATTTGCACATCTTTTGTCAAACGTATCTCTGAGTCTTTGTATTTTTGATGCTATTATAAATCAGATTTTTCATTTTCAATTTTTATTAAATTTTTTAATGTTTATTTTTGAGCGACAGAGAGAGACAGAGTGTGAGTGAGGGA